ACAAACACTGCAACCAACCGTCGTGCCGTCCATTGTACCAGCGAACCCGTGCTACTAAACTACCCTTGAAAAGCGGGGTGAACTAGGAAAGTAGCTATGACCCCTGGTCTTATGGGTTGTAAATCAGCGTTGCGCGGAAAACGAATATCGAAGCTGCGACTGAATGAACTGATAATGTAGAATAAAGGCACGTGATAATATAGTGACTACCACTAACCTAGCTAGTTTGGCGAAGGGAAAACCAAATGCGCCGCGAGGCAGCCTCGAAATCGTGGTTGTCAACCGAACGTGTGAAGTCCGAAAGTGTTGGGGTTGTACGCGTAGCAGTCAACCCTGACAAGGAAAAAGGCAATTTCCTTACAATTCTCTGAATTTATGCCTACTGTTAGGACGTGGGCACTCGTATCCTTTTTGGTGATTGACTTTGCTCTAGGGGCGGTTATTGATGGACTTTGAAAGTTCAGGAGAGTTATTGCAGGGTTTCAGTGCGGTAGCAGATCTATTTTGCACGATCGATTGTCGAACTTGATGCTGTCCACTTCTTAGTGACTGAACGAGCCAATTACCAAACACGTTGGAACACTTTGTGACTGTACGCTTTATTTTTTACCCAGAAACGTTATCGAGTCCCATGTTCCATACTGGTGGCATATTTTCCCTATGTCGAATACTGTCGCAAAACCCTCAACCTTGCAGGTTGATTGTGAAGCGCTCGCCAGTCTTCGCCGCTCGAGCACGCAACCCAATTTCGCCGGGCCTGCACCACACGCGACGCCCAGTAAAAACTGGGGCTTCTGTGGGCTTCTGTAACCGGGCTTGCACCACACGCAACGCAACTCAATTTCGCCGAACCGCTTGGTCTACAAATTCCGTCAACTCACAGCCGATTTCAAATTGTTCCCTCCAATTCGCCTTGTTGCATCGTCACGAGTTTGACCTGCCAGATTTCAGCGTTCCCAGAAGTTGACTTATCCTGCCTGACAACCAGAGGAACCGTTACGCAGGGAACGGGTTCATGTCGTGGCCATTTCCCTCCATTTTCTCGCACTCAATCTGTGCGCTACAAAAAACAACGCGCGGAACTTTGCAAAAAACGGCAATGGCTACGTCTAGGGTTCCGCCCGGGGGCGCCTTCGAACAGGGTGCTTATCCACCAGCCGCAGCAGCAGAAGTCCCTGAGCCGGTCACCTTACTATCAGCGGAGACCATCTTAGAAACAACATCCGCATTCGGAACAGAAACGAATGTAGAAACAGATACGGCAGGAGTACCTCGACTGATTAGATCGGCCTCGTTTCCAAGCATTCGCACATTCCTTTTGGAGCAATGGCCTTCTGCTTCCACCGAGAATCATCATCGTCATCATCATCATCAGCAGCAGGAGCAGCAGCAGGAGCAGCAGGAGCAGCAGCAGGAGCAGCAGGAGCAGCAGGAGCAGCAGCAGGAGCAGCTGGAGCAGCAGCAGGAGCAGCAGGAGCAGCAGGAGCAGCAAGAGAAGCAAGAGAAGCAGCACACAACAGCAGATTCACCTGATGTCGAAACGGAATTGCTGCGGCCCCTTTCCCCAACCTCCCCGTACTCGTTTCCTGAAAGCAGCTGCGATCGTACCCAATTAGCGACTAGACCTGCGAAATCAATAACCCTTTTCGCCGATGTTCTCGAGAACGTTTTTAGACTGCTGCAGCGACCCGAACACGCGCACCTAGCTAGCACGGCCTGCAAGGAGTGGCGCGACGTCTTCGAGAGCCGAACCCGCGACTTTTCAGTTGTTTACGACTTGCGGACCGCGCGTTGGGAGCCTTGTTTCCGTGACGTCAGCAACTGCAGTTTCGTTTCACGGTGGCATCCGGGAATAGAGAAGCTATGGATTCTAGATGACCCGCAGTTGTGCATGCCAGAGCACGTACGCTTCATGAGAAAAAACCCCTGGTTCACCCCGGCGCTTGTGTCTGATCTCAATTTGTCGCAGAATTTTCGCCAGCTTGACTCTGCGATTGTTTCTCCCGATGGAAAGCAGATTGGCGCCTTGATTAGACGGTTTCCGAACCTGACGTCCGTCAATATTCCAATTTTTATCAACAACTTTCCTGGCCCGCGTGTTTCGGCGTTCCGAGAGGAAGGTTTGTGTGAAGCGCTATCCGCGGTCGCCACGTGTCGCTCGCTCCGCTCTTGCCGGATCCAGATCCGATTTCCCCAAAATTTTTCCTTCCAATCCCATCTTAACGCATTCAACGCAATCCTGACCCAAGGCCTCGTTAATATTCTTGATTCCTGCCCGCGCCTCCGGTCGTTCCACGTGCAAGCGGACATGCTTCGATTCGTCGTGCGTGACAACTTGCCCGATCTGGTAACTGCGATCTCTTCCTCCGTTGGCTCGACAGACACAGCAGGTCCCGGAGGCTCGACACCCCTAATCACTGAAACGCTACCAGGCTCGAAGCATCAGCGGCAGCGGCTATCCCATCTCTCCCTTCCTCTGCATCATCCCCTCTCCGCCTCATTCTCATCCTCCTCCTTCGCTTCCACCTTCCCTTACCTCTGTTCGCTTCATCTTCACGTGACTTGCGCCAACGAGTACTTTTTCGCCTCCGCCGCTCCGTTTTCGCAACTGCGTGTGTTACAAGAGCTTCGCATATGTTACCATCGCGAGCCCAGGTATGGCTCCGAGGTCCACCCGCAGGCTCGGGCACCGAACCTCTCTCCGGACCTGTTTTCCGGCTTGGAACATTCGCTTCGAAAGCTGTCTCTCAACCTCCGGGTCGGCTCACGCAATTTCGATGGCAGCCTGTCATTTGTACCCGATATTACACACAGCTATTTATTTATTAGAGTGCTTCCGGACTCGATATGGGCGCTGAGACGGCTGGAGGAACTGGAGACGGACCTGTGCAGCAGCAGGGCAGCAGCGCGCGGGCAGGAGAGCCGCGCTAGACGCGTGCAGCTGGAGCGGCGAACCGCGTTGAGAGTGATGGGCTTTAACGAGGCTGCTTCTGCTGGGGCTGGTACAACGGCAACTGCTGACGTGGCGAACGTGGGCAACGAGGAGGGTGAGACTCTGGACGAGCCGCGGTTCGCGGGGTTTAAGCAGTTGACTTCGTTGACTCTCACGTCGGACCAATGGCTGGCCCCTCCGCCATCCCTCAGGCACCTGCCAAGCCTGACGCGGCTGCACATGCCCCTGGCTGCTCCGAGCCTGAGCTGCAGGCCCGGGGTGGGACTGTGGCATCTGACTTCCCTCAAGGACCTGTGCATTTCTGAGGTAGTCGGGGGGAGGTTTAGGGAACGCCAGCAGCAGCAGCGGCAGCAGCAGCAGCAGCAGCAGCAGCAGGAGGAGGAGGAGCAGCAGGAGCAGCAGGGACAGGGAGGTGAGCAGGGTCAACAAGGTCAGGGACAAGCCCGGGCTCTTAAACCGTTTCTCCCTCCTGCTCTAGAGTCGTTGACTCTCCATGGACGTTCTTATAACGAGCAGAGCCTATCCCCCTGGTCCTCCTCTACAATCACACAGCTCAAGCTGGTGAACGTCCGCTGCCCACCAGTTCCGGACTCGCAGTGCCTCTTTCCGTACCTTAGGGTCTTCCAAGCCATACACTCCACTGCTCAGGTTGGGACTCTGCCGAACCTGAGGCATATGCTAGAGAGGGCCGAGCCTGGTTTCGAGATTCAGCTGACTGCGCACCCGAACCTGACTTTTCTGCAGGTGCACCGGCCATGCAGCAAACACCCGATCCCACCAATGCCCAGGCTTGAGATCCTCATTCTCGACCAGCTTTCCATAGGTTCCAGGACCTTGAAGTGCCTCTCTGCCTGCACTTCTCTGCGCTTTCTAAGACTGTCCCACATGGGACAGAGGGGATGCACTGAAAATATCACCTGCCCGCCAAAGCTGAGGACCTTGGAGATTCACGACTCAAGGTTTCCATGTCTGCCCGGGAACTTTGCGTGTTTTCATCGCATCAGGAAGCTGCGGCTGATCCACTGTGAGAAGATGACCTCGCTGCCAGAGTACCTGGCGGGCTTTAACCGCCTCACAGAGGTCACCATCAGGGGTTGTAAGCATAAGATCCAGATCCCAGAGAGTTTGAACCGTGTTTTAGCTCGAGCCAACTATAAGGTGGAAGGGGACACCGTGACTTGAGTAAATAGAGTATCCAATTGATAGTCATGTACTTTAGTGGTCAGAAATTATTCAGATTATAGTAAACAGTAGGTAGCTTTGATTCCATTAATCTTCTACTGCTCTTTGGGGATTGTTTGAACAAGCTTTTCTATAATTTGTTTGTAAAAAACTGAAATATCCCTGGACGAACCGACTCCTGGCAAGCCCTTTCAGAGACCTTATTCGCCTCCATGGTGCGAGGGGCACAACACTTTCAGAGGCGTCACGAGTGTGCTCATATCGTACTTTCAGAAGGAATGAATGCTCTTGTTGGGGGGTGTGTTGTCCTGCAGGGGTATGCTGTCCTGTGGGGCTGTGTGAGTTGAGTTCCGCAATCGAGCTGCTCATCGTCTCTCCCGCCTCTGCCCATGCCAGCTGCTCTGATGCTCCTCCTCCCACCGCCCCTCCTGCTTCTCCTTCTGCGCTTGTAGCCTCCTGTGCTGCCACCCCTTCTGCTGCTGCCCCTTCTGCTGCCACTCCTCCGGCTGCTGCCCCTAATGATGCCGCTGCTCCTGCTGCCGAACCAGGCACTGCTGCCGAACCAGGCACTGCTGCCGAACCTGGCACTGCTGTAGGCCCAGGCCCACTGGCGGAGCACCAGCTCCTGCTGCGGTGGTGGCCAACCCTGCTCCTGCTGCACCAGGCACTGCTGCTGCACCAGGCACTGCTGCTGCACCAGGCACTGCTGCTGCACCAGGCACTGCTGCTGCACCAGGCACTGCTGCTGCACCTGGCACTGCTGCTGCACCAGGCACTGCTGCTGCCCCAGGCACTGCCGCTGCCCCGTTGCTGCCACACAAGGTATGGTCGTGATACCAGTGGTGTCAGAGTGCATGACAACTGTTTAGGCAGGGCGAGTGAACAGCGCAGAGGAGACGTAGTCCTTGTGGGGCCCGCGCACAAGGTACTCAATGCTGAACCTCTCCAGGTGAACGCCTTGGAAGGCAAACCGGTGCGCCACTTTGTACAGGTCCTTCACACACAGGTGCTCCCCCACCGCACGCCACGCCCGGGGCAGCGCCTTCTCCACGAAATCAGCACTCTCAAGGTCCTCATTCCTGTCAGAAGCAGAACCTGACCCAGAAGGGTCCGGAAAGAACCTCAGGTGGTGGAAGAGGTAGGTGCGCTACGACTTGTCGGCAAAGTGGACGGCGATTCCATCCTCGGGCCCCTCGCACACCCACACATACTCGCGCCACACCTTGTTCCCCTTGCCCCCTGCGCTGCCTGCCATCACAAACTCCCCCTCCTCACGGTACAGGTACTCTCCTCCCCCCGGCCGCAAAGTAAACGTGGCTGTCCCTTGCATGGTGCCCGACGGCAGGCCCTCATGCACACTCCGAATCTCGCGCTCCAACCGCCACGTCCCCGCCAGGCCCCGGAACACCGCGCCTGCCACTTAGCTCCCGCCCTCCAGCTCGCCACAAGCACGCGTCAACTGCGCCATGGCAACCTCAGCGGCAGCGACAGACGGTGCACTGGTGAGGGTGCAGTAGTGTGCGGGTACGACCATGTCGTGTGCTCTCATCCACTCGGGGTCTGTGGGCAGCGCGCACCCGAGCGCCTCAGAGAGCGAGTTGCACATGCTCACATAGTCCCACACAGGGAACTGCGGTCTCGGCTGCTGCTCCCGCACTTCCCTCGCCTCCTCGATGCCCTCCTGTAGGGTGCTGGTTGGAACGGGCGGGAGGGCGCCGGACAGCGTGGCTGCGGCCCAGCGAGCCTGGAGCTCCATGGCGCCAAAGTAGGGCCCGCGGTACATGCCCACCATGGCGGCGCTGGGGAGCGACGGGTGGAAGGTGCAGCGGTGCAGCAGCAGCGGCGAGAAGAGGTCCGACGAGTCGAAGCCGATCTGCTGTTTCAGATCATTTGGGAGGAAGCGCAGAGCGGGGCTGTAACCAGTGCAGCAGATGACTGCATCCACACCGTCGATGCGCTCATCCGTGCCTTGGAGAGTCACAGAGGCCTGTGCAGCTGTGCTGTGGGAATGCGGGTGCAGCGACACGCCCTGCACTCTGCCGGGCAGCACGCGGATGAGCCCCTGCTGCACCATCGGCCCGTACCTGTCTGCGATGGCAACGAACGGGTGCTCGCTGTCGCTGCTGCTCACGCCCAGCTCCGGGCACAGGAGCTTACCCTGCAAGAAGAGACAAGACGGGGAAAGAGTTCTGTTAGAAATACAAGAGGCATGGGTTCATTGGATGGGCACGTGAACGGATGGCGCACAGAGTGTGCTTGCAGCAACCATTGGCCCTTTCCAAAAGATCACTTCGAGCAAAAACACCGCTAGTCGGGTGGACTGAGGAATACACATAAGAAAGAAGCAGGGTCCCACCCATTCCCGTCCCATTGCGGCCTGCGCCTTACCTGATCACCGCACAGAGCGCGCATGTACTTGTTGGCAGCACACCGCGCCTCCTCACTGCGCAACGTGACGAGAGACGGCGAAGGTCGCGAGGCCCGTCGATAGAAGCACAAGTCGAGCGGTAGGAAGGGCGAGGCTGGGTCCGAGGGGTCGGCTGGAAGGAAGCGTGGCAGCAGCCAGAAGGGCTTGGTGATGACGTGGATGACCTCAGAAGCTTTCGATGCCACGTCAGCAGCGATGTCGACGCCGCTGAAGGAAGCACCGACGACGACAACCTTCTTCCCCGCGAAGGCGTCGCTACTCCTGCAGTCGGCGCTGTGGATCAGGACTCCCGCTGCTGCTGCTGCATCAGCCCCTGGCATGTTAGGGATGTGCGCCTTTTCGAAGAACCCCGACGCGACTACCAGGGAATCGAACACCTCTGGGTTTTGCTGCCGGCCGTCTTGATCCACCTGGACACTCCACTTTCCGTCGTCCAGCAACGCGACGCGGGAGACACGCGCGTTCAGGCGCAGCGCTTGAGGCTGCTAATGAGTTTGATTCCGGCGGAATGAGGAACCGGTGGGCGTAGGACTTCAAGTAGGCGAGCACTTGAGCTTGCGACGGGAAGAGCGGCGCATCGTCGGCCCACGGATGGTCGGAGAAACTGCAGGTGAAGCGCGATAGGTTTGTCATCATGCCTGCCCAGCACGCAGGCGCTCCATCTGATGCCCTGGCGGCTGGTTTCGAACAAGATTCTTCTTCAATTGCCTCGCCACCCTCGCTTGGAATGCCCTGCCTCCACAGTCCGCCGATAGAACCGGCCTTCTCAAACAGAGTGGGTTGAAGGCCTGCCTCGAGGAGGTATTTGGCGGACGCGAGACCTGCGGGGCCAGCCCCGATGACCGCGACTCGTTTCAGACCCCTGGGTAGCGCCGCCATTGTCACCGGGCGGAAGCCAGGGAGGGAGCTGTGGACGAGGAGGGGGCGATGGAGGAGCGAAGGCATTCTAAGCGAACAGAAATGGGTGAAAACCCAGCATCTAAGAGGTGAGCGCCAGACAGCGCAGATCTGCCCCTCGGAAGAAAACGAAGCAATCTTCTACCTTGATTTCCCCTTAGGGCGTATCCGAAGTGTCCAACCACATGGATCAGACGTCCATCCGTCATTCGACGGACGTCCGTGACGGACGTCAAACGATGACGGATGGATGTTTTGACGTCGATGGGTTGGTGGGTTAGCTGATGTATGTTGTTGTTGGTGCGTGCATGCGAGCACTGCTGTATGATTTGGCCAACACTGAGTTACCAGGAACAGAGTCACGAGTGCGTTTGTCCTCACAGGCACGCCTGTCATTCGGCAGTCCACCAGCGCGCACTGCCAGGTTTTGCGACTTTCGCGATGTGAGCTCGCAAGTGCTCGCAAATAGCACAACTCTCCTGCTGAACCAGTTAACCGATCCAGACAATTTTCCTGCTGCTCCGCAAGAGGGTTTGGGACAGCAGCAGTTGTCCGCTGCACAGTGCATATCCAACAAGCAGTTGCGCACGTGGAGATGGGTACACGAACTCGAGGACCATTTCACCGAATCGGACCACGCACTGTCGGATTGGTGAAACCGTCGCAATGGAAGGCTGTCATGTTTTACTCACATCTCGATCACATAGCTCTGAACCAGTTTGGAAAGGAGAATTTCATGATTAGGGCGCGTGTCTTTTGCTGTAGAAGTTGGGAAAATCGGTTGAACTTTTGCTGGTAACCCGTTTCGCAAATTTCGCTAATTGTTTTGCTTGCGTTTCGTGTGTCCTAGTACAACATTGTAGATGAAGTAGTACACTAAACCTGAATTGAACTTTCAGCTCAAACCATGCGTGCAATTAGATTCACTCGTGTGTCCTCATGACAATGCACGAGGTACTTGCGAATAAGGCGACGGTCGCAGCACAGTTCGCGCGCACAAACGGCTTAACACAAAGGGTTCCGGCGTCGTCACAAACGCGGGAAAAACAGGGTAACCTACGTAGGTTGACCGCGACTCGGGAAAGTTCAACTTTGATAGTTGGACTTTCGTGTGTCCTTCGATTCTTGTCAGTTGAGGAGCAGCGACTCGGGTCACAACTGCCCATATTGTCGAGCCTAGGTCGACCTAGGTTCAACTGCGCATACTTCAACTAAAAACTCGAGTTTTGCATAGGTTTTACAAAAGACACGCGCCCTTATTTCCGCATGAACATGTAACCCAGCCAGTCCAAGCTCCAGCATACCTCCAACATATGAAGGCAGTGAACGGAGAATAAAATAACCTAGCCCACAACACCCATCTACATTCATAGACTAACTAAGCTCTAAGAGGAGACGGTGGTGTAGTAGGTAACGGTGCGGCCATTGACGGGCTCGGGGAGGCGGTTGTCAGTGCGCTCGGTGTTTTGCTTCGCCAGCATGTTCATGAAAGTTATGGTCTGCAAGACACAGGGGCAATCAGAAGAAAATTGGGCCAGTTTAGAAAATTGATGGGATCCAAGGCGCAGCCGCAAATGAAGCTTACGCGATTGAGATTGGGGATGTCAAAGTTATATTTCGTATTATTACCTGGGCGAAGGAGAGGAACTTGGCCTTGCGCACGACGTGCCACTCGACGATCTCGTTGCACTCGAGGGTGGTGAGCGAGCCAGGGTAGCGCCAGAAGCCCATCGACATGTCGATCATGTCGGCCCAGAAGTTGTCGGGAATGTCGATGGTGGCCGTGCCGTTCACATCAGCGGGGGTCTTGGGCAGCCAGCTGAGAGAAATTGTTGGAAGAAATGAGGAAATAAACGGGAGAAAGTGAATGTGAGGAAGGACTTCGCGAAAAAGGAAAGCTGCGAAATTTGGCCTTCAGAGGTTTTTCTGCGTACACCTTGCGTACAAATTGCGCGAAGTGTCCAAAAACCAACGCACGAAAATCGCAACATTAGGTACACCTGTTGCTTTTCCGTCAACTTTTGCGGGTCAGTTGGTTTCGCACGTTCGAGAGAGATTCCATGCGGTTTTGCAGAGTGACGAGGGCAGTGTAATGTAACCACAAATTTAACGAAGCAAAACGAACCCACGAAGTCCAGCGATGTGCAACAACTGCATACATTGTTTTCTTTCAGTATCCTATCTAAACCCAACCACCCAACCCAACCCACAAATGCTACCTGGTTTCTTCACATGGGTGACGTGTAAGCCAGAAAAATCTTTGTGAACCAATGATTGTTGTGCTGTGACGAGTCAATCAGTATCCACCTTCCGATACCTACACGTCAGCACAACCAACCCAAAAAACGTCCACTCCCCTCACATGATTCCCCCCCACACCTGTACCTCCTGTACGACCCCCACCAACCTCATACCCTCTCCTTGTTTATTAGTGCAATGTTCAGCATACGCTGCTCTCTACGTTCCTTAGACTAGCAACTAAGCTCTAACGCGCGTTTCGTTCTTCAACGCCATCACTACGCTGCGATCGCAAATTTAGTTGTTCACTGTTTAATCTTGAGAAGAAGCGAACGAGGATGAATGAACTATGAATGAAGTGAGTACAAATATGAAACCCTAATTGGGTTGTACCCCCTATGGGATACCCCATTATAGCCTACACAAATAAGTAAGCTATAATGTTCTGACACACCCCCATAGGCAAAGTGGGGGAGAACAAGGGGTCACAAGACCAGTCAAGCAAAGCAAAGCAAAGCTCACGGTGGATCACAAAGTCACCACACATTCCGAGCGCAAGGTCAAGGGCCACAAGGCCAGTTCACATGCAAGATCATATATAGAGATATACAAGAGTCAAGCAAGCAAGAGCAAGAGTATATATAAGTCAAGGTACAAGCAAGGTCAAGAAGTGAGCAAGTGAGGCAAGACAGGCACAAGACCCAGCTGCGTGCAGCAACGCTGATGATCACAAGGAGCAAGTGCCTTGGTGAAGATATCAGCAGTGTTGGCCTCAGAGGCCACGTACGCAAGTCGCAACTGTCCACGCTGCTGCAGCTCACGAGCAAGAAAGTAGCGGAGAGCAATGTGCTTTGTCCTGTGCTCCAGTCGCTGCTCTCGACACAAGGCCAGCATGGCCTTGTTGTCTACGTACAGGACTGGAGGAGAACGAGGCGGCTCTCCAAGGTCGGTCAGCAGGTAGGTGAGCCAGCGAAGCTCCTGAGCAGCCATAGCCCCGGCGTAGATCTCAGCCTCACAACTGGAGCTGAGAACAGAAGACGAGCGAGTAGCCCGCCACGAGACAGAGCCGGAACCAAGGCCGAAGGTGTAACCCTGTGATGACCGCTGCGTAGCCTGGTCGTCAGCCCAAGAAGCGTCCGCGTGCCCAGTGAGGACCACTGGACTGCGCCCTCCAAGCACTAGCCCCATGCCCGACGTACTGCACAAGTAGCGCAACACCCTCTTCGCTGCAGCCATGTGCTCTGGTCGGTGTCTCCCAGGAGCAACATAGCGTGCGAGAATGCTGAGAGGGTATGCAAGGTCAGGTCGTGTGCAGGTCATCAGGTACATGAGGCAGCCAACAAGCTCTGCATACGGGCCACTCGACTCTACGGACTCATCCGAAGGCAGAGCTGAGAGCGAGTGGCGAGTAGGCAGAGGAGTGGCCTGAGGCGAGGAGTACGTGAAGCCGAAGCGCTGAAGGACCTGCTGCACCATGTGTGACTGAGTCAGGGTAATGGTGCGGCGTGCTCTGTCCCGGGTGATCTGCAAGCCAAGGTAGCTGCGCAGTTCACCCAGGTCCGTGCACGTGTGTCTCTTCTGCAGCTCAGACTTCACGTAAGCGAGTCGAGCAGTGTCCGCTGTGGCAAAGACCAAGTCGTCGACGTACACGAGGATGTAGAACGGCGGCAGAGAGGTGTCGGTGCGCAGAAACAGCGACGGGTTGGCAGTAGAAGGAGCAAACCCAAGTGCCGCAAGTGTAGTCCTCAGTGTGTCGTGCCACTCACGTGGCGCCTGGCGGAGACCGTAGACTGGACGCCGGAGACTCCACTGGGTACCAGGAGGGAAAGACCCAATGAAGCCAGGTGGGCGACGCAGCCAGATCTCCTCGTGCAGGCTGCCCTGCAAGAAAGCTGTGCTGAAGTCGAGAGAGTGTAGCTCGTAGTCACAGTGAGCAGAAACGTGCAGCAGTACCCGAAGAGTGGTCATCTTCGGGGTGGGGGAGAAGGTCTGAAAGTAGTCAACCCCCTGCCGCTGACTGAAGCCACGAGCCACGTAACGCGCCTTAAAGACAGGCGGAGAACCCGGCGGCCGCTTCACCCTGAAAATCCACATGCCACTGATGATGTTCGCCCCAGGAGGGGGAACAGCGTCGACGTAGGTGCCTCTGGACTTCCAGGAAGCCATCTCTGCATCCATAGCTGCCTGCCACTGAGAGGAGTAGGGACCCTCTATCGCCTCCGCGTAAGAGCGCGGAGTCGGGATGTCTAGTGCATCCGGGTCTCCCTCAGGGGCTAGCAGTACAGACGCAAGATGAGGTGAAGCAGCGGCCAGACACTGGAACTCCTCCTGCCTGTCCTCAAGGACGTCCGTGCGAAGGGCACACTCACCCCCGACGGACGGAGGACAGGCAGACTCAGACTCAGCGACAAGACTAGCAGCGTAGTCTAGACGACAGCGCGCAGCAAAGTCGACGAGCTCAGTGACAAGGGCAGACGCAGCAGAAGACTCGAAAGAAGGGTCAGTGACAGCAGTAGCAAGAAGGCGCGTGACAGTAGGACTGGCAGCACGAAGAGAGTCCGACTCCGGGTCGGCAAGAGCAGGAAGAGAGGAAGAAGGAGGAGAAGGCAAAGGGGCACATAGAGGAGCAGTAGACGGACGCAGAGACATCCGGTGCGTGCTAGGGACAGGAGGAGGACGCTGACGCGAACCACGACCACTAGTGCGTGCAGTACGAACAGGCGACGCAGGACGAGACGCAGGCTCACGACGCTCAGTAAGACCTCCAGTCGGACCAGCGTAGGGAGAAGGAGCAGGCAAAGGTGAGGCAGGCTGTAGCTGTGACAGTGACGAGATTGGCTGTGGACCCTCTAAGGGAGGAGGAGGAGGACCAGTAGAAGGTGTAAGACCAAGAACATGCTGCAGGAGCAGAACGAAGTACGGCCGGGGCCGCGCGGCGACGCCAGAAACAGCAGGGACAGCACCAGTACCCCCAGCAGGAGTACCCGCTCCAGCAGCACCTCCAGTAGCTCCAGAACCTCCAGCAGCACCACCAGGAGCACCACCAGTCGGACCTCCAGCGGCAGTCTCAGCGTCAACACCCTCAGCAGCACCAGCTCCAGGAGAACCCTCAGACCCAGCAGCTCCAGCACCCATAGTACGAGCACCGCCGGGACGCTCGGCAGCAGTACCCTCTGCAGCCGAAGAACCTTCGGCACCAGCAGCACGCCTCCAGCGCCTGGCAAACCACTCACGTAGCTCCTGAGGGGAGAGTGGCTCTCGGCGAGACGAAGCACCTCCAGGCGGAGCACCCCCAGTCTCAGCACCTCCAGGCTCAGCACCCCCAGGCTCAGTACCCCCAGGCTCAGTACCCCCAGGCACAGCACCCCCAGTCTCAGCACCTCCAGGCTCAGCACCCCCAGGCTCAGTACCCCCAGGCTCAGTACCCCCAGGCTCAGCACCTCCAGGCTCAGCACCCCCAGGCTCAGCACCCCCAGGCCCAGCACCCCCAGGCTCAGCACCTCCATACTCCGCACCCCCAGGCCCAGTACCCGCAGGCGTAGCACCTCCAGTCTCAGCATCCCCAGGCTCAGCTCCCGCAGCAGCACCAGAGTCACCAGTGACCTCGACAGGCTCGACCGCGTCTACCTGGGACACACCTTAAGGGGCAGGACCTTGAGGGGGGAGGGGGTCTACCGGGGGGGGACCTGGTACCAAAAAGAGCGGGGGCGGGGGGAGGGACGGAGTGCGGTAGGGGAAGAGGCGGTAGTAGGGTACCGACTTGTCGAACGTGACGTCCTGGGAGGACAGAACACGTCGAGAGGTGGGGTGGTAGAACTGCCACCCAGGGGCGTCGGGGGGGAACCCCAGGAAGACGCAGGGAGCAGCGCGAGGGGACAGCTTGTCCGCAGACAAGTCGCGGACAAACGCCCGAGATCCCCAGACTCGGAACGCCGACACATCGCCAACCTTCCCCGTCCACAGAAGGGCTGGGGAGGCCTCCGGCCTGGAGACCCTGGGGTGGAGGTTGATCTGATGCGCCGCGTACCTGACCGCAAACGGCCACAGAAAATGGGGGGCAGCCGCATGCATCATAGACGTACGAGCGACGTCCATGACCATGCCAATGCGGCGCTCTGCAATCCCATTTTGCTGCGGTGAGTCCGGAAGCGTGAAGGTCTGGCGGATGCCCCGCGCACGACAGAAGGCACGCAGAAGACCAGAGGAGAACTCTCCGCCTCTGTCCGAGTGCAGACGCAACACAGGAAAGTCTGAGCCAAAGCTCTGCCTGAGCTGGAGACGAGCTGCGCGGATCCAGTCGATCAGCACCTCAGTGACATCACCCTTGCTGCGCAAGGGGAAGACTGTGGTGTAACGCGAGTAGTCGTCAACCACCAACAGGAAGTAGCGCTCGTGACCGAGTCCACGGACGCGGGCAGGGCCCCACACGTCCATGTGAAGCATCTGCAACGGAGCCTCTGTCGGAGGAAACTGGGAGGAGTGAGGGGCAGCACGCTGGCGCCCCTCGACACAGGGGACACAGGCAGGGCCAGGGCCCTGAGGAAGGGGAGGGAGGGACCGGGGGAGACCAGACACAAGAAGACGGGAGGCCATGCCTCTGAGCCGAAGCAGAGAGGGGTGGCCAAGGCGGTGGTGCCAGAGGAGAGTCTCGTGAGACAGACGGCGACACGAACAGGGGGCAGACTCAGGACCAGACCTGGACGCTGCAGCAAACACCTGACCAGACGAAGGGACTCTACCAGACTCAGCACCG